CCCTCCTCTTCCCCCTCTTCCCCCCCCTTCCACCTCCATGTCTAAGTGTCTCTCTGCCTCACTGCTCTTTGGTCTCCCTCCTCACTCCCTTCTGCTCAGTGTGAGGAGGGAGGTAAGTGTCACCACATGTTCCTCCAGTCCGAGTTACCTGTTCCTGAAAAGCACTAGCTTGCTCCTCAAATCCTGCTGTTCGGAAATAATTGACGACATCCATCACGGCCCAGTCTGCAGGATCTGGAGGCCTCCCATTTTCCATGGAACTGCAAAATACAAATTCAGGCTGTCACGGTGTGGCATGTACATAAGTGTGGCCAGTCTCTCTCACTGCCTTGCCTCCCAGTGTTGGTTTGGACCAGGTTACTAGGACCCTGGCACCCTCTTCCCTCAGGGCCCACATTCTGGTCTACCTCCAGAAGGAACCATAAGTATTCTTCTGTGTCTTAGTATCTTAAGATCATCACTGGTATAGTCAATGGTCTATTTATTTTTAAATATTTTATTTATTATTATTTTTTCGGAGCTGAGGACTGAACCCAGGGCCTTGCACTTGCTAGGCAGGCGCTCTGCCACTGAGCTAAATCCCCACCCCATTATTATTTTTTTAATATTTTATTTCTTTATTTTATGTGTACTAGTGTATTGCCTGCATGCATGTGAGTGCACCCATGTCATGCAATGCCACGGAGGTCAGAAGAGGACTTCAGATTCCCCTGGAACTGGAATTAAGGATGGTTCATAGCCACCATGTGGGTGCTGGGAATTGAACCTGGGTTCTCTGCAAGAGCAGTCAGTGCTCTTAACTGCTGAGCCATCTCTCCAGCCCTTTATTTATTATTTTTATTTTATGTGTATGAATACACTGCCTGCATGTGTGTAAGTGCACCTGTACTGTGCAATGCCCACAGAGGTCAGAAGAGGGTGCTGGATTTCCCTGGAACTGGAGTTATGAATGGTTGTTAGTCATCATGTGGGTGCTGGGACTTGAACTTGGGTCCTCTGCAAGAGCAGTTAGTGCTCTGCTAGGCCATCTCTCCAGCCCCAGTCAATGCTTTCTTGACATTTAATGTAAATGATTTCCTCATACATACTTAAAAAAAGAGACACTTAGAATGATCCAGTGATTTTTGGTGGGCTGCATACAGCTTGATACTCACACTATAATTTACAATGTGAGTATTTACATGTGAATCCTCCTCCTCCTCCTCCTCCTCCTGCTCCTCCTCCACACTTCTTCCTATCTTAGAGAAAAAGCCATCCTTCATTAGACCATGTCCTTCCCCAGACCTGGATGTCCTTGCATCTGTCCCAAACCCTTATGATACTCTACCAGACAAAACCCTACTACTCCTACCAGTTCAAAGGTCACCTCTGCTCTAAGGCACTTCCTGGCACCACTCGGGAAATATTTTAATTATAATTTTCTCTGAGAGCTAATGCTCCATTCAAATTCCCATTGTAGCACATTCCACACTGGTTATATTCTGTTTATTTGACTCGTGAGAAATATGAGCCACAGATAGATACACATGTGAGCTTATGCCAGCATTCTACTATTCCTAGTGTCACACGTGTGCTTAGGAAGTCAGTCAATATTGTTCAGTATGAATTACAATGATAAACAGATGACAAACATTGTCTGAGAGGCTGCATGGGTAACCCTTTTCACTGGGTTTGGAGAGGACAGAGAGAAGTACGGTAAAGAGAGAGCACCACTGGTCTGCAACTGTTGGGAGTGTGCCTCATCCCTGTTTCAGGAGTACTGTCTCTACTTCATTCAAAGTGGTTCTTCTAGAAGGCACATTGGATCACATTGTTCCTTGATTAAAAATCTTTCAAATGCTTCCCATGGCTCTTGTGATAGACCCCACAGAACTTAACAGAAAGCCTTCAGGACGAAGGTTCTCCACCTCTACAACTAAGAATATATGTGGAATCAAAAAAGCCACAGCACTTTCCCTTATGGGCTTTCCCAGCACTAAGGGAAATGGACACTAATCAATATTCATACAAGTGAATGTACATTATGTAAACTGCTAGGAAGGACAGGCACTCTGTTTTAGCTAAAATTCCTTCTGGAGGGCTATAAACAAACTGAGGTATGATTTTGCCGAACTACAGTCTGGGAAACTGGTGGTTTATTGGGCTTACAGAACAATCGGTGAGGGTCTACTTAGAGTGTGAGTGCTCCCCTCCTAAGGCCGCACCAGAAAGTCTTCATCCCAGCTGGATGGTGACATTCCCACAGAAGCACAAAATGGCTTGAGAGTTTATATACCCTCATCCCCTTGCCTTTGTGCAGCTAGGACAGACTGAGTAGGCGTGGCTCACTCTCCCTGCCCCTCCTTTCTAACAGAGTGTAAGTCAACAAGCTTAGCTGTGATGATCCTAGGCAAGTGGGTGCAACTAAGCTTGGGAAGATGCCATCTGCCAATGGTTTGTAGGAGGACAATCCTATGCAACAACTGTGCTGTGAAAGTGTAAGTCCTAGTGGAGGCTTCCTTTCTTGTGAAGTAGTCTTTTGAGGTAAGGTCTAAAAGACCATCAGAAGTTAATTGTATAAAAAAAGTCAGGTGAAGATTACTCCAAGTTATCCAGCAGATATGTACACAGCTAAGGAGCTACGACTTCCCGGGGGCCACACTGAGGATTCCAGACTTTCCTAAGAGAGATGGGAAGTTGCTGAATGGCCTTGTGGGAAGGGAGTGACCTCGTTATAGTCACATCTTGAAAAAGAGGAGCGAGAAGAAAAGAAAAGGACTGAATGAGAAGCCTATTGCAGTCCTCATGGTCCCTCCTTCTAGGGTAGTGGTTATGGAAAAGGAGAAGGACATGGATTTAAACACAGTTAATGATAAAGTCAGGATGGCTCACAGTTGCCTCGATGTAGGGAACGAAGGGTATGGACATGCCATGACATGGACTGGGCTTCAGTCAAGTGAAGACTTAATGTACAACTTGAGTCTGGAACTCAGATCAGAGGAGTGAGCTGGAAGTAGACAAAGGCCTCCGATGACAACTGAAACCGTCAGAGAGGATGGGGAAAATCTGGTTCTAGAATTAAGCCTGGCAGTGCTCAACACTCAGTGCAAGTTTAAAAGACCATGTAACTTTTAGTAGTCTTTGAGGGACTCTTGAAGGTCTTCACATATCTAAACATCCAGGATTTTCACTTATAGCAAGAACTGAAACAATTAAAAACAAAAACAATAACCAGCAATTACTACAACAAAGCAACCAACCAAACAAACAAGAAAGCCAACCAACCTTGTTGGTTCTTGTTAAAGAAAAGGGAGAACCAGGTGATCAGGGGCATATGTGATTGCTCGTTTCTCAAGAGTAGTTAATTTTAAAACACTGAGAATCAATGTCCACTAGTTAGAAGAATTTCCTTTCTGAGTTTGGATTTGGCAGTGCACGTCTGTATGTACCTGCACTGTGTTCATGCACATGCAACTTCCTACCACTTAACAGGTGGCATATATTGAGAGGAAAACTCCTTTTCACCCTAAGATTATCAAGCGTTAATTATTCACTTTTATACCAATGCTGAATTTTTTGGCAAGTAACCCATGTGCTGGGATTTCCCACTATCACAGTAACATAAATAATCATGAGCTGACAACTTCAAGGCACATTTTCCTTCCTTCTGTTCACCAAGGGCTGGAGAATGTTTGGGCAGGAGTTTACTGTTTACCAATCTTTTAGGCTTTCTAATTCTTACTTCTAGCAGGGAACAGAGTTCCAGAACATACTTTTGAGTGCCTGGAAAATATCTGAATTCACTCTTCTTGTTGTTGACTTCAGTTAGTCACTTTTCCTCATAAAGAATGGGCATTTGATTCATGCTACAGTATGAGTTCAGGATGGGAGGTTATTTGGTATTCTTAGTATGATATGTAACATCATCACTTCTAGGATTCTGAAATGTTCTAGAAATGTTGATGAAAATAAAGACATTGTAAAACTGCTGGTACTATACCAGGAAATGTTGGAGTGATGTGGAAATGCCATTTTCTTGTAAGTAGGATAAGGGAACCCACCCAGGAGAAGTGGGGCTAGAAACTAATCAATATATATATATCAATGATCAGTCTAGTGGAAAGCTGATAGCCTAAAAAGGAAACCCCAAAGTAATTTATAAAAATATCACAATATTGGATTATTCATATCCCAAGGGGAAAAAAAACTAACTTCATTTATGTTGTTTAGCACAGGTCTGGCTGGTACATACAAGATACACTACCACCTGTTATGTTAGATAGAATACCAACAATACAATTACCAGCAAAACAACTATCAACAATACCAATAACTACAATATACTTTTCACAGGTCACATAATATCAGTCTTCCACCCCCTTGTGAACGGACTACTTTAAACCACTTCTAGAAAAGCAAATTTCAGGAAGAGGAAGAAAGTCACCCCAAATCATATAGTTTTAGAGATAAATTCAGGTGGATTTCACATATGCTCTACTGCAAACATGCTTTTCTAACTGTACTTAGTCCTTCATACAATAGCTATTGCTTGGAAGTAAGTCTTCTCAGTACTGTACTAGATGCAGAATTAAAAGCATGGAAAATGCACAGTTCTTGCATTCAGGGAGGTGCCAATCTTGGGAGGGAAAAATAGACTTGGAAACAGTCAGGTAACACTAAAATTGAGGGGCAAGCAAACTGCTAATGAGGGGTATGAACAAAAAGCCTCATTAGTTGTCTGACTTGAACAGCTGAAGATTGGCAATTTGAGAGACATTTATTTCTCCAAACAGACACTAAGCTGGGCCTCCAAAGAAAGATGACTTTGCTGGGCCCTGCTAAGTGATTTCAGAATAGTTTCAAGGACAACACTGAGGATGACTCAAGGTAATATAAATGGGTGGAGAGGGGAAACCGGGTAGAAGGATGCCAAACCAAGTAATATCCGACAATGGGTCGTTTTGGAAGGTAGCACTATAAGTGGCACTTTCTTCCTGCTTAGGAAGTACCATGTCTCCCTCAATGACATTTTTGTGACCAAACTGAGATACTTTATTCCCCTATAAATAGACCATTCTCTTCACATATTTTCTTATAACATGCACATCAGATTCCAGAAGGAATTTAAATGCACTGTTTAAGACCCTTAGATGGTGGTTCCATTGTGACCATTCTTCTTGAATTGATGAAAAGAGGCAGCAGATGGGAAAGTGCCTGGTCCTTTCCACACTCATTAATTACTATCAGATTGGAGCTTTCTTTAGGAAATGCTTACTATGTT